TGGAATTCAAGCTTCCATTATAGAAGGAAGCTTTTTTTCTCAAAAGTACAGGTCTGTGGAGCACAGGGCATTTGTCTCCAACAGTGAGGCATAATGGGAAGCCTGCCTGGTGTGGAAAGGCCCAGGTTTGAGGTCCTGCCCTGCCACCAGACACCTCTGTGACCATTAAAGGCAGTTTAACAATCATGGCCTCAGTTTCCACTTCTTTTGGGCAAGAAGTTAGCCAGAAAAGTATGATTGGCCTTAGATGGCCCCACATGTCCTTACAGCTAAAAACATCCTGCCTTCAAGCATTGTGTCAGAGGGTTTCACAGTGTTGCCTATGGCAGGTGTGGCTCAGGCCCTTAGGAGCAGGTTGAAAACACCATTCTCTCAGCATGCCCTCATAGACTCTGTCTGCTAGAAGTCCTTTTAAATTGCAAGGTTGGACCATTCTTGTTACTTCAGCATATAAAACACTTTTCTTTCTAGTCCTCGGAGGAAGGGGTGGCAGAGGTTTGATTTGACTTCCCGCAGGGCATGGAGTTGAGGGCTACCAATTTTCAGGGTCAAGAGTTGTTACTCCAGCTTCCTGTTACCCACCATTAGGTTTGATTGATAGTATTAAACAGAAGGAAAACGGTATTTTACTGGAGTGGGGAAATGCATTCGGTTAAATAATGAGTATATATGAAATGCCCAGCTAGAGCTTTTGTGAAGGGAGAGATGTAATTTTGTGGTTGTGCATGTTCAGGACTCTCTTCCACATGAGCTTTCATTGGGAGAAATAGAATGCATTAGATCAGCAGAACAAAGCAAAGATGATGGTCCTAGGAGGGTGTGGTCTCATTCAGGAACATCTTTAGAATAGGGAGGCTTTGTGGAAAATCAGAGAGGGCTGAGGGCTGAGAAATGCTGGTCAGAGACCATTATCCACAGATACCCAGCAAGGGCCACTGTGATGATGCACAGGGTTCCCCGGGATGGACACAGATCTTCTCTGAACATTGGCCGCTTGTCATGTTCCCCGCTGTGTGGCACATCTGAAACCTCTGGGCCAAGTTTTCATGAGCCCAGAAGGTTTGATTGGTTCCTGCATCTGAGCATCATTACATTGGGACCCCCAGACCTCAGACACAGTGGACCACAGTGGGTTTTTCTAGTCTCTGATCATGGTGCTACCTATAAGGACCCCTTTGTCTCTGACCCTGCCTCAGGAGTCAACTTCCCAGCGGTGAGAAAATGATCTCTGCCGCTACCATAATTCAACTTCCCAACCAATAACGTGGTACATGGAGGGGCCAGCTATGTCTTTCTGAGTCATGAACTTATCCAGACAGTGAGTCACAGCACCATCAAAATGAAATCATGTTCATTTGCATGTGGTGAGTCATGCTGAAAAAAAACTAAGTTTCAGGAAATTGGAATTGTCTGGGAGACTCCGTTAACTGTGCCTTGCACTTGAAGAGATTAACCCATGTCAGGAGTGAGCAAGGGGCTTTGGAGCCGTCTAACTCAGGTAAATTGAGAAATAAGTTGTAAACTCTCATGACAACTAAGATGAGTAGGGTTGTTGACTTCAAGGAATGGTTTATGAACACTAAACTCCACTTCCCCTGCTCCCTAAAAGCGATATTTCAAGTTATTGGACTGGAAATTAATTTGATACTAATTTGTTCTCAACTCATGGCTTAATGAGCTTGTATTCCGGTATATTTAATTAGAAAGTACACTTGATAAATAATCCATTAACAACAGAGCCTGAGAACAAATGAGTTCCAAATTTCAGGAGTCAGTAGCTATTGTCGCCACTTTACTTTTCGTTCTCCTCACCACAAATAAGAGAAATGCTATGATGGATCTCAAAGGTCAGTGATCTTGCTCACCTGGGCACCCTAGACTCCAACAGCAGCCACTGTCCTGTCCTTTCCTACTGAGAGTCACCTTGCGCTTTAACATGCCTGCAGGTCATAGAATACCCACCCCACCCTGTATACCATAGTCTGAGAGGGGACCAAGATCTCTTGATGCCCTGAGATATTTCAATGCAGTTACATGCATTGCCCGTGTTGAGAAAAATTTTACATGACTCCCCTGAAAGTCAGACACAGAGAGAAAGAGAGAGAGAGAGAGAGAGAGAGAGAGAGAGAGAGAGAGAGAGAGAGAGAGAGAGAGAGAGAGAGAGAGAGAGAGAGAGAATCAGAGCCATTCAAAATCTACACAAATGGCAAGAAGGTACACTTGAAGCTATGTCTCCCCTCCTTGGTATTCTACTAGATATCCAACATGGCTGGTTGGACAGCCCTAGTCCCTTTCAGTCCCCTCAAGTGCCTTACACTGAGCTACTGCCTATTGAAGAGGACAGCCTCATGTAGGAGTGACAGATCACCAGGCACACCACACGTCTGTGTCTGAATCTCCTAGCCTCCTCCCTGAACTACGTGCTCTCTCCATTACCCGTTGCCTTTGCAGGTTTCCATCTGCAGGTAATTCCTTCTCCAGTCCTGGCCCCTGGACACCAGCTGTCCATACTGCAGTGTGTGCAGTGCAATACTCTTAGGCAAGAAAAAGCAGAGTTCATGATGGGACCTGGAAAACATTAAGCAGGATGAAAGAAGCCAGGCACGAGGCCATGTATTGCAGGCTTCTATGTGCATGAAATGAACAGAGCAAGCAAATCCATAGAGACAGAGAGGAGACTGCTGAGGAGGGACTGCTGGCCTCCAGGTATCTCTGTGGGGTCATTAAAATGCTCTGGAATTAGACAGTGGTCATCATTGTGCATCCTTATGGATTTCGGTGATGGAGGACTTCAGGTACTCCCTGTACTCTAAATAGAACACCATAAAAATGCTGACCCCGGTGTGCTTTGAAATAGTGAGATGTGTGGTATGGGAATTAAGTCTTCATTTTAAAAGAGAATTAGCTCTGCAGGATATCCAATTGTCATGTAAAACAATTGTGATTAAAAGAGTGGTATTGGCTTAGGAGAGGACAGTTGAGCATTCCTCGGTGGACTGTAAAACCGAGAAGATGCGTGGACATACCCTGAGTATTCCCCTATGCTCTGGTTCGGATGGCTCATGTGCTTGAACATTCAGGCCCCAACGGATGACACTGTTTGGGGAGGTTGCAGAACCTCTAGACATGAGGCCATGATGGAGGAGGTGGGTCTCTGGGGTTGGCTTGCTTGCTGTCACACGTGAGGAAGCAGCCTCACACTGCCAAGAACTCCACCATGTCTTCTTTTGCCATGATGGACTGTGAGCCAGAAGAGATCCTCGCTCCTTGAAGTTGTCTCTATCAGGTCACAAAAACAAGTCACAGACACAATACATGACAGAGTGTCAGTGAGAAACCCACGGAACCGTGTGGATAATGCCTGCCCTTGGTGTAGGGGAAGTTGTACATGCCCTGTACTTCCAGGATGGAAGCAAATCCTGGGTAGAGTAAAGAGCCAGTCTCATGACCATGAAAACATTTCTTCGAGTACATGAAAAGGCATGCACCTGAAACCTCAAAGATATCCAGGAAACAGGGGCAGGGTGCATGGAAGACACTTGGATTTATAAAGCTAGAAATGCTGGACAATGATGTTCTGGTTAAAAGATTTCTCTTACACAATTATGAGGTCAAAATATTAATATCCTGAATATGTATGTACATACATATATACATATATGAGATTCTATAATCAGTAAGAAATGTTTAAACAGAACCACCTGTCTCCCTGTAGGCTTCCCATCTCCTTCCATTCTCTGCCTTTCAGATGACCCAAGAATTTTACCCTCTTAATTTGTTGAGGTGGTCTTAGTCAATTTATCATGATGTCATGGCTTTTCCTTTGTCACTCAAACTCATCTGGTCTTTTTTTGTTTGTCTTTTAATTTTGTGTCTGTGTGTGTGTGTGTGTGTGAGAGAGAGAGAGAGAGAGAGAGAGAGAGAGAGAGAGAAGAGAGAGAGAGAGAGTGTGTGTGTGTGTGTGTTTATGTATATGTATATGTACCATATGCATTCAGGAACCCATGGAAGCTCAAAAGGGCTTCAGATTAGATCCCCAAAACTGAATTGCAGATGTTTGTGAGCCACCAAGCCAGTGCTAGGAACCAAACCTGGGTCCTTGGTGATCACAGCAAATGCTCTTAGCCATTGAGCCATCTTTCCAACTCTGGTCCTTTTCCTTAGCAAAGCAGAGGTAGTCTTTGTGAATGGCTGTCACCACCGAGTCCCTATGAGCTGACATGGGTGTGGTGGAGGCAGGCTGAACCCTGACTGTTACTTTCCTGCCAAGAGCCAACCTGCTGCTGGCATTATGGATAACTGGGCAAGGAGTACCCAATGTGAGCGGCCATTCCTTGCCAATCAGCTGCTGTGACCCAGCCTTCTTTTCAACAGCATAATTACCCTGAATCTGGACAGAGTTCTGTCTTCCCAGGAGGTATATGGGCTGTGCTTGCTTTGGGTATTTTTTTTTTCTCTCTTCATCTTCTTCTGAGACCTCCCTCAATGACCTTTCTGCTGAGGTGAATGTGGGTGATTCTGAGAATTCTCTCCATTCACCTCCCAGACCCCATCTGTTAGGCTGTTTTCCTAAGCCACTGATTTGGGCCTGGTTTTATTGCATTCCACACTGTGCTTAAATACCCCATCCATTCCCTTATGTCATTCATTACCAGAGACCATTTATATGAGGGTTAGCCAAGGATGTCAGTGTCATTTGCTCTGATGCTGCATCTTGTACAACCTCGGACATCAGGGCTTTCCTGGGGGGTGGGGGTGACAGGTGAGACTGGAGGCCAGTCAGGAGCGTTAAAACCCTACTGATAATCTCTGAGCAGGTCTGTCACTCGAGCGATTAGACCCTGGCAAGTCACATTGGGCCTAGCAGTAAGCATTAAGACTACCTGTAGAATATGGTATAACATGTCCTAAGCTAAAGGAGGAGAGGGGACCAGAAGAATCTGGATTATTCTAAGTGGGAGGAAGATGTGTTGACTGATTTCCCCCTCTCTCCCTTTCAGGATCACTGTTACTACCATGGACACGTGCAAGGAGATGCTGCTTCAGTGGTCAGCATCAGCACTTGCTCTGGTCTCAGGTAAGTGGACATGACCCGGAAGTTCTGATTTAACCAACCCTAGACCACCCTGTCTCTCTGCACTCACTCCAAGGCCCTGAGAGCAGACACGGTGGCCTCACAGCACCGGTGCCTCTCAAGCTGGGCCAGAAGGTGGAGGCTGCCTGTGTGGTTACTTACAACAGCACAGCTGGCCGAGGATCTTAGTGTCTCCTTCATTCTCCATCTTTAAGTTCTGTTCTCAGGCTGGGACGTAGGGGTGGGGGCCTGAGAACCACAGAACTAGCTGGGGTTAGGCACTCAAGCATGGGCTGAGGCTGGGGCTGGGGCTCAATGGTAAAATGCCTAGCTACACAAAGCCACAGATCCAGTCTCCAAGACTGCCAGAAAATGAAAGAACACAGGCACTGCATGGATGATCTTTTGTGTTCACAGTCCTGATGCTTAAAACTTCCAAGTGCTAAAAGACAGGAAAGTGTTTATTAACATCATAGCTGCTGGCTTAATCAAAACAGATTGAGGGCCCCTTCTCCCTGAGAAAGAATAGAAATGACCAAGTTGAGTTGGCATCAGGTCTACCTGGGCAGGCTTTCACTGATGAGCTATGAATAAGAGTAGGAAATGCTGACTTATTGTCACCCTGGGATTATCTACTGTCAGCCCTGTCATTCCAAGTCCCAGACAGTCGACACCAGAGGACTCTTGTGTGCCCCTGGAGAAGCTACTTGTCTGCTAAATTTCCACTCTTGCCTTTTTTTTTAAAGTACATCTGTGTATTGAGTTGTGAACTATGAGCTTGTATCCTCAAAGTCCTAAATGGCTTAGGCCAGGGCACTAGTGTGGGGTTCCAGGGGAGGGAGGAGAGAGAAGGATATAGAAAATGTATGAGCTTAAGTGATGGGGTGGGACTGCTTTGTATGTCTGCAGTAACTGCCACCTCTGTAAGCCCTGGGAAAGTTTGGAGATAGCGAGACACACACACCACAGCATACAGACACAGAACAATCTAAGACAGCTTCACACACACACAAATGATATGATGCATACAATACACATGCAATCAACAGCCTACCAGACACACACATATGCACACCACAGGTGGTGTAATAAAACACACAGAGGCAATAAACAGAACACAGCCTCAGTGTATACAGAGAGAGAAAGAAAACTCACCATCATTGTGCAGCTTCCTGTCATTCCTTGCAGTGTCCTGTGTGGCTCTTGTAGCGTTTGTCTCTTCCTTTACCTGCTACGCAGAGTTCGGTTTTCCATGCATACCTCATTTTTCCCATTTGTGCACATGAGCATGTGAGTTTCTGTGGTCTCTGCCTTTTCTCAGTTTTAGATGACACCGTTCTCAGCACCAACTGGTTGTCCTGTGGGGGCTAAAGAGGGCATGGCATGTGGCATGGAGGACACTAGCTCTTTCCTGGGACTAGTCACATGCCCGACACTTCTGACACTTTTTTTTTTCAAAGACCTGCCTCGATTGTCATGCTGATCCACAGAGAATGGGGGCTCATTTCTTCACAGCCTCCCCAATGTTTAGCACATCTCATTTCTCCTAAGTGTTTGGCACTGGACTCTAGGGTTATGCCCACAACTGTTCCTCTCCTTTACCCCTGCTCAGACCTGCTCAGGCAAGAATAGCAGCATGCAAACATGTGGTCAGGATGTTTTTCTAAAAGGCCACAGTGTTCATGTACCCCTGTTTTTGTCATCTAATCCTGTCTGTTTCTGGAACTTACTGTATCTAGAGCACATACACACACAACCCAGGTACTGTGCCTACGTGTGTGAGTGCACATGGCACATGTGTGTGTGAGTGCACACACACTGCACGTGTGCATTGTTTTTATGTATGTTTGACATGGCCTTGATGGAGCACTGTTGGCTTCAGTGCATTTGTTGGCCTAAGGAAGGAAGGAAGGCAGTGTCTTGTTTGCATTCAGTCCTCTCTGGCTATTCATTTATTCATGGGACACTACCCTGTCCCCAGTGCTAGTCTAGGTATTAGGGATATATCAGTAAAGAAACTGTGCTCTCAGAGAGCACCCCCTAGGAGGGAACAAGGGACAGAGAGTGAGTGACACAAGTGATCCTGGGGGAGGATGAAGCTGAGCTAAGGACAGAAGGAGGAGAAGTGGCCCAAGATGTGAGATGAGGGCAAGGCACAGGCATTGGTGGGAAGCAGAGGATAGCAAGCACACGCTCTGGGGCAGAGCAGCAATGTGGCCATTATGGCTGGAATAGGAAGACGGGAAGCAGTAAAGGAAGATGACATCAGAGGGGACAGTAGAAAGGGCATGGTGACGAGGTCTGATACAAGAGAAAGAATTTGAGGATACAGGGGCCAGGGTTCATAAAAATCAGGATCACAGGAGAAACATGAGTTGTCAGAGACCAGTAACAAACTGAGAGTTCCCAATGTCTACTCAAAGTGCCATGGATTGGATATGGCATGTCCCGGAAAGGCTTATATATTGGCACATTTGGTTCCCAGCTGTTGGTGATGATTTGGGAGGTCGAGGGGCCATTGGAGGTGCAGCCCAGCTACAAGAAGTGAGTCACTAAGTGGGGAGAGGCTTGATTTTATAACCCTTGCCTGCTTCCAACAGACCTCCCCTTCTCCCTCATCCATCCAGATATAAGCCACACACACCAGCTGCCATGAGACTGTACCTTAAACCATGAGCCCAAATATATGCTTCCTGTCGTTGGGTGCTTCTTGTGGGTTATCTGATCACGGCAACCAGAAAAGTAGTACATGGGGTGAAGGTGAATAGGTCATTGAGATCTGAAGACTGAGACCAACCGCTGAAGCACAGTCATCAGGCAGCAAGCCAGCTCATCTACTCTGAGCTCCATTCTCCCGTTTCCCCTGCCCCTGGCCCCTGCCCCTGCCTCTCTCTGTGCCACCACCACCCGGGTGCTATTTGATTTCTTTGACAAGATCTCACACAGCCCAGGCTGGCCTAGAACTCGCTATGCGGGCAAGGCTTGCTTGGACTTGTGATCCTCCTGCCATAGCCTCTTCAGTGCTAGGACTACAACAAGCACATGCTGCATCTGGCGGCTGCTGTCTATCTTCAGGTCTTGTGAGCCTTCTCCTTTTTCCATGAGGGAGTCGTCATAACCACCCCAGTGGAAATAGCTGTACAAGGACACCCCAAGGGGACAAGCTGCCCCAGGTGCCCCCATGCTACTCAGCCGCCATATACTCCATTCTAACTGAGCTTCCCACTGTCTATTCCCACACATTCCTACAAAAATGCAGGTAATCCCCAAATAGCAAAATCACCCAGACAGCTGTGTCTGCATCAGCACCCACCTCCCATCCCCAACTCCTGGAAAACATTCCTTACCCTAGCCACAGACTTCAGAACTGGCAGCTGCAGAATATTGTGCTGTCACCAACTGTGCTCCTAAGCCCTACCCTACACCCAGATCTTCTTGCAACTCTAACACAGGTCACTCATTAACAGAGAAATCACAGACCCATGCTGTCAAGTTTATCTATCAAGCTGAGAAGCAGACCGTTATATCCAATCTTCAGCTCTCTGACAGAAGAATCGATCAGGGCTGGGAATAAAGAAAAACTGTTTTTATCCAGAGTCAGAACCAGCATGATAGACATTGAGAAAGGAAACAGGGATAAATTTTCTGTTAAGTATGTTGTATTTTGGAAACATAGGGACCCAAGGGCCTGAAAGCACCTGGAGGGGGTGGGAAGAGGTCATCAATTCATGGAGAAAAGCATCTGTGAATGTGTATCTCACAGTCTGTCCATAATGATGGGCAAAATGCACCCTTACACCCAACTCTGGTCAATTCATAGATTCATAGTTGATCCTTTATACAACTTAGACATAGAAACCGTGTATGGTGTGTGTGTGTGTGTGTGTGTGTGTGTGTGTGTGTGTGTGTGTGTGGTACATGCATCAGCTGTGGTGTATACATGGGCATGAGTAGACATATAAATGTCAGAACTGGGCATTGGGTGTCTTCCATTGCTCTCTACTATATTTTTTGAAGCAAGGTCTCTCACTGAGCCTGGAGCTCTCCAGTTCAGCATCAGTGAAGCCTCAGGATCCACTTGTCTCCATCTCCCCAGTGCTGTGGTACAAATGTGGACAGCCATACCCAGCTTCTCCTCTGTGCTGAGCATCTGGACTTGGGTCTTCATACTTGCATGGCATGCATTTTACTCAGTGAAGGCCTCTCCAGCCCTGGGTCAGCTCCCTGTCCTTTCCCATGAACGTGTCTCGCTGATGTCATCCCTGCTTCCCCCTACTTGGGCTTAGTTGGCCTTTACAAAATCCACTTTCCCATTAAGGCCAAATCAAAGGGTCACCACTCTGTGAACTCTGTATCCAGTCTGGCTCTGCCCAGAACCATGAGAACAGCATAGCTTACTTATCTCATTTCCTGCAGCACCACTAGACCTCTGTAAATACCTGTCCACACCCTGTGTGTCCATTCTTTTCTTTGGCTCTTCCCGCCCTGTGGTAAAAGCCTTCAGCATGGGTAACATTCCTGACACATCCTATGTGCCCCTTGACCATAGACCAGAGCTTTTAGCAGAGGACTTTAGATGTGAGAGGCAGTACAAGATGATTTGTGAAATTTAACAAAATAAAATACCAAAGGCTGGGGGTGTAGCTCCATGGTGGATCTCTTGCCTAGCATCCATGAGGCCCTAGGTTTGATTCCCAACACCACACACACACACACACACACACACACACACACACACACACACACACACACTAATAAAATTAAAATATCAGAATAGGAGGTTTATTTGTGCCTACTAAGCATATACATTATTCTCCTCCTGAAAGTTTGTCTTGATTTTATTTCTATAATATAGCATATATGACACCAAATTTTATATATTAAATGCAGAAGAGGTTTCTTTCCCATGCAATTTGAAAATAGTTTTCAATGTGCTTTCCACAAAGGAGAGTTGATCAATGTCATTCCTGGAATATAGGGTAGCCACAGCTCACTGCTGTGAC